TGGACTCCCTTCCTGATCTCAATTTTAAGAATCCATTCTCTGATAGCCAACACTTCTCTTTCCAGCTTACTTACTCTACTGGTACCCTCACTCCAACAACTGTTTGACACTAGGATGACCAATCTATCATCCTTACTCTATTTGGCCATCCCAACTTCTTGTCCTTCTTTCTTTTCTTGTGGAACCTAGTTTTGTTGGGTCAAAATAAGCATTTATTTAAATAACATCCAAAACTTGTTTCTATGACTTCAAAAGCCCTGTTACTGAAATAAATCAGCAGTTTATATCATTGAACTTTCTCTAGCACCTGAAAGTGGCTGAAGTAAAACACTAATTAGTCTAATTATTGTGCTGATTAGTCTCACCTTGGGTGGATCCCCCGGTTTGGTGGGCCCTAAAGGTTATAGCATACGTGGCCAATTTATGTAAAAGAATACAGTATTATGAATACAAAATGCCCATAGTTAACTTGAATACCACTTTACAGAGGGTACATTATATTAGAAAGAGAATGGTCTTAATCAATCATGGTCAAAATATCTTATTTTTACAAACTTTATGAAAACATAAAACCATGTGAAAACACTGCTAGGAACACTCAAAAGACTTTTTGAAAGGGGCTGGGGCCAACTAGAGCCCCTCATGCTTAAGCTTCATTAGCATTACAATAAATTTGCTTTTGAGTAGAACTTAAATTATATGACTACAGATCTCAAGTGATACTCAGCACTGCCAAGAAATTGCTAGACAATTCAGCTTTTTTGATGATTGTTTCATATCTTCTCCCTCTCTTCAATCCTAGTAACTCACATCACCCACATTTTAAGTTAATCTTTTTCAAAGAGAGTCTAGATGTAATCAAATGAAAATTACCTCTTTCTGTTACCAGGGTACTTGCACACAATACAATTGTCTAATCTTTCCCATGAATCATTATTTCTCTTTACTTTAATAGCATAGGAACATTGAATAATATTGCTCATGTTACAGAATAGGTAAACACAAAATAAACCATATTCCTGCATCCCACCTCTGTCCTTCTATTCTTTATAGCAAATCTTATCAAAATAGACACTCCTGTTTGCATGAACTCACATTTCATTCTCTAGTCAACCAGTTCCAATCAGGCTTTTCTCAGAGTGTCATATTCTGGATCCATGGTCAATTTTGTCTCATTAATTTGAAGGGTTTTTTTATTGTTTTCTTTCAGTTAGCTATGCTTGGTTAGGACATCTGATGGTATTTTAGGTACAATTTCTTTATAGGTAACCTGTCTTTTCTGCCTGGGAACTTTAGAATTTTTCTCTTCTTATTTCAAAGTTCTGAAATTTCACAATTCTGAGTCTAGGGGTATGTGTCGGGGGTTGTGTATGTGTGTGTGAGAGAGAGCGAGAGAGACATCGATTTATCCAGTTTAGCACTAAGACTTTCCAAGTTGATGGCCCATGTTGGTTATCAGTACTTAAAATGATTCTGCTATAACTTTGTTATACATATTTCTTCTCTATCTTATTTCTTGTCCTATGATGTTTTAATAGGAATGTGATAGTTCATCTGTTAATTGCTGCTTATAATTGTGCATTTTTTTTACATATTTTGAGAACATAGTCAGAGACATTGAAGTAAATTATTATTTCATTTCTTGTTGGATTTCTTGTTTTTTATTATCTATTTTTACCTTCTTTCTTCGTCATGATTTCACATTAAATTATATTTCATTATGTTAATGTTGCTGCGCCAGTGCTTATTTTCATATTTTCTGAGTGGCTTAGTCTTAGGCCTTTCATCTTGCAGTCAGCACTGAATCCTGTTTTTTAAATATAATCTGATGTTTTTAACAGGTGTACTTGAGACAGGTATATTAGGCTTGTGTTACAAGCCTAAGTGTAACACCATTTAATTTTGAAACATGTTTAGATAATTATACACATTTCTAATAAAATCTGGTGTTATTTTATGTTTTAATTATTATCCTGAGAATTACACATATTTTAGCAAAATTAATTATTATTGAACATCTTGACACATATCCCATTTTTTGTAGTTGCCTGGTGCCTTAGTTTCACTTTAAATAATAATTTTTTCAGAATTAATGCTTATGTACGCATTCTGATATTTCTCAATTATCTTTGTTCTTATGCCTTCTTGTTTCCCCCTTTGGTTAAATTTCTATACATCTGAGGTGATTCTTTAGTCTTTAATTTAGTCTTTATCCCTTAATTTCTCTAGTCTTTACAACAACTCTCCTTATTATTGTTCTTTCTGTAAATCAAAGGGAATGTTACTTAACACACACTCACTCTACTCCACTCCGCTTCATGTTATTTTAATGAGGGCTTAGTGGTAAATTTTCTTAACCTACACCAGTTTTGCTCATCAACCTTGAATAATAGTTTGGCAATGTATGCAATTCTAACTTGACATTTATTTTTGCTTTGCTTTGAAGATAATAATTTTCTTCTGGCATCTATTACATCATTTTTTTATGTCTTTTTTTTTTCTGTGTCACTTCCTCCCTCTTTTCTCTGTGTCTTTAATATTCTACTTTTTTATCATAATATCTTTAGCTATAGTTCTTTTTTCAAAATTTTTGTAATGTTCAGTACTCATAACCCATTTTGTTATCTGGTCTGTGATTCTATTTTTTCTTCAAGTCTAGAAATTTCTCAAGCCTTCCCACAACAAATCTCCTCCTTATTGTTCTTTCTGTAAAGCAAAGTGGATGTTGCTTAACGTATATATCAAGCATGGGCTGTGCATGTGTTCCATAAAATACATATGAATACAAACGTGCACATACATATTTACATATGTAAATATACATACTTACACACAAATAAACACACATATACACAAAACAAACACATAAAAGGTATAGACACATACACAAATATTCATGTGTACACAAAAATAAACACCCATAGACTCACATGTATACATATACTCTGTATGGGTACAAACATGCCCCACACACCCAACATCATACTTTTGTTTGGGTGAATTTCTTAGTACTTTATTCCTACCTAATCATCTAAAACTCTCTTTGACCCCACTCAGTTTAGAGTTCTTTTGGTCTATTTCAAAACTATTTTCATTATCCCTTCCCATTTTATAATTTGCTGTTTTCAACATCTACCAATTTTTGTTTCATTTCTGGTGTGTTTCAGTTTTGTTTTGTTTTTTTCTTTTATAGTAGTAGTTATTTCTTTACTTATATTTTTGAGCAATTTAAATGTGCTTATTTTAGGTTCTTTGTCAAATTATTTTATAAGACTAATAATCACCTAGAGTGGATTAGATTCATGCTCTAATTGCTGGGTCTTTGGAAACAAGATATTTCTTAATGTGGCTTATGTCTTTTTCTTAAGGTCTCCCATTCTAAATAAGCACCACACACACACACACACCTCTATCATACACATCTTCATGTTCATCTCTTTCCAACTGAAGGTTTTTCATTGCTTCTACTTGACCCTCCTTGATCTCAATCCACCAGTCTTTAAAGTCTACCATTTATGGTATTCTTTTCTGATTCCCAGAGATCGTCTTAAGATAATATTGGGGGTAACATTAAGTGATTAGTGATACAGTGTGTGGATTGGTGTCGGGATTGGTTCTTATCAATGCCCTAGCTCCTAGCTCTCTACAAATGTATACTCCCAGTCAGTGAGCTGGTCCTTTCACAAGCAAGCACAGTTCATGCAAAGCCCTGCTATGAGTCAGTGAACCCTGCACTGGTTATTCTTCTGGTAGAACCCCTTCAGCCAGTTTTCTGCTGCTTCTCCTCTAATGCTTTGATTTTCAATCACATTTCTATTCTATTGAGATGGTTACCTCATTTGTGAGCCTAACCATGCTTCCTGCATGCCTTGAATATATGTTTGTTCTTGTTTCTACATCACCCTTATATCCTATTCTGGAATAGACAAGAATGAGAGATCAATGAAGCTCATCACTAGTTGATTTGGCCACATTAATTAAAGCTTCTCTTGTGTTCTGTTAAAGAAGAGTTAATCATCAGTATTCATTATGACTATACCCTCTTTAGCAGTGCTGCTTGAGTGAAGTGTGATCAGCAACCAAGTGACATCAACATAACTGAGCGCATATTCTCAGGCCCATCCTACATCTACTTAAACATATCCTGAGAGTGAAGCCTAGGAATCTGTGACTTAATAAGCTCTCCATGTGATTCTTACACATATGCAAGCTTTAGAAGTACTGCCCTAGTCAATATTGGTACTTCACTTCCTGGTTGCAAATTAGAATCATCTGGGGTGCTTAAAAATAATGATGTTGGAGCTTTACCCAAGATCAATTATATCAGAATTTTTGAAAGCACTAAGTCTTATTAAATGCTTTGAAGGTGAGTGTAATGTGTAGCTAGGGTTGGGAAACATTGCTCTAGTCGAGTAGTTCTCAATAGGGATGATTTTGTACCTTCAGGAGGAGACAATTGGTAATGTCCGGGGGCATTTTTGGTTGTCACAACTGAGCCAGTGCTAGAGATGCTGCTAAACATCTCACAATGCAGAGGACATCCACCCTAAAACAAAGAATTATCTGGTCCCAAATGTCAATAGTATTGAGGTTGAGAATCTTTGTTCTACTGCATGCTTTGGTTTTAGTCTAGGCTCTTGAGGACTTCTTCCTCTAGTAATAATACCTTTATGAAAGTCACAAAGAGATACAGAAAGGAGCATAGAAGGGATTTTGAATGTTCTAAAAGCCAAGCATCTAGACTGCCCAAGTCTTTCTTACTGATGCCCTTATCCTTCTGAAACTGGGAATAGCCTAACAATTAAAGGTGACCAATTGGAGAAGCAGAAAAATAAATGGAGACTTGGGACATATGTTTTATATTCAACTTATAGTTAACTATCTAGCTATTTTTGGCAACATAAAATATGAACTTGTTCCTTTTTTCAATATTTTAAATATATTTGCCTCAATATATACTCTCGGAATAATCATATCAATTTTTTGCTTTATTTTTACAGTATAAAGAAGAAAACAGAGTTTGAGTCTGAAATCAAATATTTGACAAGAAGGAAGGCAGTGAATGAGGATATTCTAAAAGAACTCTATAAGGAATCTTATCACGTTGGTGCTGTTTTCCATGTAACCAAACATAACACAGATGAATTGGAAACTAAAATAGCAGACGTGAGAAGAAAATTCAAGGTTGTGTATCTTTGTGTTCTTCTTAGTTTTGAAGAAAAAAAGAGTAATTCTCCTGAATGTTATTGATTTAATATTGATAACTATTTTAAGTTAAGAGTTCACAGTCTTTTCAAAAAAATCACTTCTGATAAATTGGAAGAAAACCACCTCTCTCCAGAGGCCAAATTGACTAGAAGAGGATGAGGGTTCAATGTAGCTAATCAACATTTGTTTCTACTTTTTTCTATGGTTTCTATCATCCACTGTAAACTACCTGGAGCACCAGGAGTGTGATGCTCAGTTCAGCTTTATCCTATATGTCCAACACATAATAATTCCTTCCTATGGTAGGAGGATGGAATTCTGAGATGTGCTCTTATACTTTATGTGGCATAAGAATAGGGAGGCCTACAAGTTGTTGGATTCCAGAGTGCCAGGCAACTCGTAGACCACATTGCTGCAGAAATAACTGTTCACATGCCTCAAATCCATTCCTAAGTGAGAGATGTGATGAATAGCAGCTTCCTGCCATTTGTTGTAGGGACTTGGAAAGTGGGCTCCATTTTACTGAATTGAAGAAAGTTGTTCACCATGTCCTTTCCCTATCCCATGAGAGCTGAGAGATCACTCAAAAACAGCAACAGAAATTGCTCCACTTAAGAACCATTCCCAATTGCTAATCATTCCTGCTTGTCTCTGAGCCTGAATATATATGGCATTAAATTTCTATAATGTAAACATGCAGATCTGTGTCAGAGTGGTACTGAATTTAAAATTTATTTCTTGATTGTCCTTAGATAATTCAGATTTATAGTAACTCAAGTTTGTAGTTTCTATTTGTGTAATGACCCTATTGTCTTTCATTGGCTGATTCATGAACATCTATTTAATACAAAAGTTTGGGCATCATATTTTCCTTGCAGGTAACTTTCCATATTTGTTGATTGATCCTGGCCTGAAATTAGTCCTAATCTATGTCATCTAGAAATTATTTATAGAAATATCAGTTCTGGGGTAGCTCTGAGAAATGACATTTTGAAGGCCTAGAGGTAGAGTTTATGAATTATGTTCTCTCAAGTTAATGCATCAATAAAATGCTAGACAAATTTTAGCCAGTCTTAGAATAGAAGCAATCCTGAACAATAAGGATATCTATGAATTTCTGAAGTTTCCAGTTATTAGAGATGTTGAGTTCCCATTTTTCTGTACTTTCAATTTCAATAACTGACTTATTCATGAAAGAGATGTTTAGCCAAGGGTCAGGATAAAATTAGCCAATAGGTATAGGAAATAAGTCAATAAAAAACTAAGACACATCCAATTATGGTATTGATAGAATGAACAGAGAAATCCCACCCAGATTTGTCTAGAGAATGTAACATTGCAATAAAAAGTTTTGAGAGCTTTCATCAGATGTTAAGTACTGGTCAGCACTTCAGTGGAAGGCTTCTGTGTAAGCTGCATGGTCTTGTAGGATGTTTTGGTTGAATGTAACGGAATGCAGATGGAAAAGTGAGAACAGGCTCTGTGTGCTGGTGGGTAACCCCTCTGCTGGCCTGGGGCCATATTAGCTGCTTGGTGGCTCAGGGACTTCTCCGGCTCAGGAGAGGACACACAGTGATTTAGGTGGCTCAAGGGCAGATTCCACATTAGAATTAAAGTGCTAGAACTAAGTGGAAACTTGTGAAAAGTAAGGAATGAAGAAGTAGAAAGAGTTTTAATCAAGCCCATTTTATGTTGGACTCTTTACACATATTAATTAACTTAATGTTCACAATATCGTGCAATTGTTATTAACAATTCTTTTGAGGGATAAAGTGATTTGCCCAAAGTAGTATAGCTTTTAGGTAACTATGTAGAGTTTAGAGACCAGAACATAATGCCGGACTTGGTATAGTCAGTAAGACGTTAGATTTATACTCTGACCAATTAAGATTCAGTCAAACTCAAAACTTCAAAATTACCATTCTAGGGGACAATTTTTAATATTAGGAAAAGACAATGTATTATATCCCTAGAAAGTTTCAGTTCACTATAGTTTAGAGGTCTATAGCTTCCCTTGAGTACTTTTACAAATATTTTAAACAATCTCAAATTGTTCTTTAGAGAAAAGTCTTGGCTTTCCCTTCAAATACTATTCGTTCAGCTCTGAGACAAGGTTTATAGGCTCTTCCTTTGGGTAAAATCAAAGCCCTAAACCTTTCGTGGAGGCTGGCATAATCTCTTCTAGTAAAGGCCTATATAGAGCATCTCTAGTTCAATCAACAGAAATTCCAGATAATATTGATAATATTTAAAATTGGTCGTAATATAGACATTCTAAAGAAATCATTAATTTTTATTCTAAAGGATTTATGCTTTATAACTGCTCACATCTAGAGCATGTTACTCTTGCCCCATGTACTGCAGCCTTTATTGCATTATGAATTGATGTTATATCCTTGGCTTTTAATAAGGGTTGGTAAAAGGTAATGGCAAAAATTCACTATTGCCACTTGGTTTTTTAAACTAACACGAGAGCTAGTCATATTGTCAATATGGTCAAAGAAACTTATGAAACTAATTTACCTCAGATTTTAGAACTAAGAAAAAGTTAATTTTTCTTGATAAGATTGTAATTTCTTCTTTATTAATAATTTGGAATTTGCTAAACTTTCTTGTTTCCTTCTGATTTAAGCAGCCAGAAGCTTGGATTTACTTATGCTATGCCTTTTTAGCATAATGACTTTAATTTATTTCTCTATGTTCCATGTTTATATCTTTGATCTTGTATCTTTTTGCTTTTGTTTCACTGGTTTTAATTTAATAAGATTCTTTTCTACTCCATTTAGAAGCAGCATACTTTGTCAAAACTGAGCAGACAGGAAAGTACTACTTGTAATATGGGGAACATCTATCTATATTATTGGGAAATGGTTGCTGGGGAAAAGTGTAGGCAGATACAAGAAAAACAGAATAGTGTGAAGGTCTGATAGGATTTAAGCCCTTCAAATGGCTGCTGGGTAACCCCTGGATCAAGCACCAGAGAAGTTCATTTTCATGATATGCATTTGAGGGAGTAAATAAATCCCCAAATTATGATAGAAACAAAGCATTGAATATTCATGAATCTTGAGGGTACAAAATGTTTGAGGACGTGAAACTTTATTTGACCTGCTGTAAATATCACATGGGAACATAATTTCTTTCTCCATTCTCCTGGCTTCGAGCTTTGCTTAACAAAATACAGGTGGTAAATTGACTCTTTAGTATTTCCATTTAGTTCTCTGAACCTTTTTTCTACTTTTCTTCTCCCTTTCCCAAGGGAAATATGGTTCAATTGAAAGAGCATGGACTTTAGAGTCAGATGTTTCTTTAATTTGAATCCTTGTTCTGCTACTTATTTGCTCTGAGAATATTGAGAATATACTTAACTTTTATTAGCCTAGGTTTCTCATATCTTTTTTATTTATTTATTTATATTTTTGCTTTAAGAGGCAAGACAGGTTTCTCATATCTGAAAGGAATATAACAATACCTACACAGTACCTCTGGGTAATAAGTAGGTAATATTTTATATAAAACATTTAACTTAAAGCCTTATTGATAATATATTCTCAAAAGCATTAGAGATGAACTCCAAAAAATCATCCATAGCATGGGGCTACCTTTGCTGTTCAATATCTGTCTCCTGATAAATATGATGAATGTGTAGATCCTAAACAACATTTTGAAAGTAATGATAGTTATTTGTTGAGTGCTTAACATGAGTGAAGCCTTGAGTAAATTACTTTATATGCATTGTCTTCTTCTCAAAATTACTTTATGGAAAATAATTTTACAGATGTGAAAACTAATATTCAATAATGATATATTGATATAGCAACTCATATGTGCTGAATTGTCCAACTCAGTGTAAATTAAAACTTTTCTAGAAAGTAATTCATCACTGTATGTAAAGAACCTAACATTCATAATCTGTAATTCAGTAATATTATTTCTAAAAGTGTGATTTTAGATCTTTAAGCAGGGAGGGGCAAGATGGCAGATGTCAAAAAACCACTAGCCAGAGTGTCTCTGCAAGACAGATTTTAGAAAAAAGTGAAAAAAAATAAATAAACAGGCAGACAAACATAGATCGGATGAGGGTCAGAAGGAAGGGTGCCTGAAACTACAGGGGACTCCAAGGAAAGAAGTTGCCAGGGAGAACTGGAAGGAGAAAGGCCCCTGAGAGTCTTGGAGAACAGCCAGAAGGGTAGGTGTAACAGTTAAATTTCCCCTCCCTTGCATCTTGGACTGCTGGTGGGCTTATGAGCAGTTGGAGAGACCTGCTAACACCAGCCCAGAGATGGCTACTGCCAGTGAGCAATGAGCCTCTTGAGCACAGGGCACCAAACTTCCAGCTCCCTCAGGGCACCTCACACCCCACAGACCCGAGCCGATCGGCAGAAGCCATATTGCCTAATTCTCCCCTTCCCCTTCCCTACCTGAGGCTGCCACTGAGAGAGATAATTTAGCCACCACCTGGAGGCATCTGCAGGGAATGGGACCTTCCTTTTGGGGCCCTATGGCAGACTGAGGGATACTCAGACTGTACTCTAAACTCCCTACCTGCCAGCCCTCCCAGGTGCTGCTTGCCTGCTGACTCCAGGAGAGCGGGTCAAATCCCGAGGCAGAGAGACATGGATCCAGCTTGGGCACCCCGTGGGTGACTTGAGACCAGGAGTCTTCTCCCTGGTAGGGTCAGGGATTGATCACTGGGGATTCCATACATCCAGGTCTCTATCACATTGCCCAGGGGCACAGAAGGGCTATTTGTGAATGTGAGTTGACTGAGCTGTGTGTGCCTTTGGGGCAGATCATCATCCTTGAGTGGCAACCCTCCTTCCATGGGAGGGCCGTGCTTCCAGCTCAGGCTGCTCTCTTAGGCAGGGAACCTCACGGCCTACATCACAGCCAGGAGAGATTCGCTGGCTTCAGGTCTGGCCTGCTAGTAGAGGCCCAGGAGAAACCATGGAATAGGGGAGGGTGGAAAGGAACAA